GGAAAATAGGTCGCCTTAAAAGCGAAATCTTTTAATTTCCCTAAGGGTTTTGAGTAAAAAATGCTCCTTTTTGCTACTGTACTATAATGAATTTATTGCCGCAAGATGATTGTTCGATGAATCGATTTAAATTCTGATTAGATAAAGAACTGATTAAATATTAATTTATCGAAAAGAGATTTATTTTGTATTACAGAAGTTTACGTTTCATCATTCATCACACGGATTTATATAGCGTATCGATCGATAACAGAAACTTATGCTAATTAAAAATTTTAATGTATGTTAAGCTTAAATGGGATGAGCCGTCTTCAAGACATATATTAGGATACATATAACGTAATACGTTTAAGGTAGTTTCCGTCAAACGAATGCAAATAAAAGCAGAAAACATTAGTAATAATTTTCTGGTTCATTAAATATATATATATAGTTTAGTTACTATAATATAATATAATGTAATATAATATATATATACATATATGCATGTACATATATGTGCGTAAGAGAAATTACTCAGTGAAACAAACCAAATAAATACATTGTCGTTGTGTATATGCACCACCAACAGTTAAAAAAGAAGGAAAGAAAGAGAGAAAGAAAAAAAAAAAAAAAAAAAGAAAAAACGACATAATTCAAATCTTTGCCGAGGTAGAGGGGAAAAATACCAAAGCAACTAAGGCAACAAAGCGAACTAGAATTTTGTTGATAATTGCCGGTTAAAATGCAGTCTTTAGTAGTAGATTAACTATGGTAGATGCTGACAGAACTAACTCACCAAGCGCGGCGGCCCGTAAACGTGACGTTTTTGTTGTACGCACTAAATGCACAGAATTCGGTGATAACGGTGTTGTGGGTAACGAACTTATCATTAAAGGACTCGCTGGTGAATTTTTATTAAATTTATTATACAATTGTGGCGAGAATTGTTGCTGATGTTGTTGTTGTTGTTGTTGTTGTTGCTGTTGCTGTTGTTGTTCTTGTTGCTGTATTGATGGCGATTGTACTGAATAATGATGATACGGTATTGTTGTTGCATTCGCATTGGTAATATTAAGCGGCGATAAGGGACATTTACGATGTTTAGGTGAAAGAGGAACAAGTGACGTGGAGCAACTTGACTTATGATGACGACGTTGTTTAAGTAACGTAGAGGCGGTAGGTGTGGCATAATTATTATTATTATTATTATTATTACTATTTAAACTATTATTTATATGAATATGATGGCAATTATTATTGATATTATTGGAAGTAGTGTTGGTGGTATTAGTCGGGTGTTGTTTATGAAGTTTATTGCAAGTCTTTCTCATAGATTTCAGGATAAAGGATTGATCCATACTTTTATGCGCGCTACAGTATGCTGTTGTATTTGCCATTTGAAAATGTCGTTTGTAATATTTAGCAAAAAAGTGATGGACCACATTATTTAGCCATAATTGAAAAAAGAAACAAATTTTAATTTTCTTTAAGTATAAAAAATAAAGAAAAAAAACAACAAGTTTCTAATTTATTTCTTTATTTTTCGCTCTTGTTTCATGTTTGTTTGTATTTATATTCAATCGTTTTTATTTCAGAATTGCCTTTCGTTTATAGTCGAAAGGGTGAACGCGTTAGCACAAATACCCGGTGAAGAGGCGGAATGGATATTTTTATACCCACCATTTTAGCAAAACGATTGCAACACTCAGGGGATAAGAACTTAGAGACTCCGCGAACATTGTATGTATGTTCCATCAGAAACTGAATCGATTTAATCGTGTCCGTCTGTCCGTTTAGGATAAGCACGCTCCTAGTCGCAAACATGAAGTTACCGCTTTCGAATTTAGCTGAAACATTGACAGTTCTTGTATGTATGTCCTCCTGTTGGCATTGAAAATAGGTGAATTCGGTCAAAGAACATGCGTGCAATGCCATATAAACTGAGAATAGGACTGCTTTCTAAGTTGTTTTTCTTAATTACTCATAAATAAAAATGACCAAGTGTATTCTCCCGAAACAAACGGAACAAATCAACCACGCCCCCTCAGTATTTATATATATATATATATATATATTTTTTTTGGTTAAATGCGGTGGATATAAAAAATATTATTATTCTCTTATTTGGTAAAAATCCCTTAACTTAGTACTTTTCTAGCTGTAAAGATATCTACTAAATGAATTTTTTTTTTAAATTTGCCAACTTGAACAATTCACAGATCCCCTTGAAATAGACGCGGCTCGCAACAATAGCTCCTATACCGTTATTTTTTTTTTTTTTTTTTTTTTTACAATTCATATATATGCTTAATATAAGCTTCTTCTTCTTCTTCTAATACCGCTTTCTCCTCTTCCATCCAAAAAAAGGCGTTAAAAAACAATATTTTTTTTTTTTAAGCTGTTTTAGTAATTTGCGCGAGTTTAAAGTAAATAAACCCTTATTGTCTATCTATGTTTAATAAAATCAAATGGAGATTTTTGTTTTAAAGCCTGAACCTTGGTGTAACGAAATGTTTGCTTTGATGTTGTTGTTTTACCTAATTATGAAGAAACTGCTTTGCTCGCAAATCTTAGCCATTATTAAAATAATCGCAATTATAATTAATTTATGCCCAATTTTTCATATAAATCCTGTATCTGATATTTCAAAGTTTTTCAATCCGAAGTCATCCCATGTGATAGGACAAGTTTTTTTGCTTTCGTAATGTTGTTATGTAATGTTATTTTTGGAAAAAATTCTTTTCATGTTTTACAAACTAAAACTAGTACAAAAAAAAAAAAAAAAAAAAAAAATTATAAAATAATTTATTAAAAGTGGTCGTTGTAGGGTGTTTATCAAGATAATCTTCACCTTGTTTTTAAGAAATATTCGAATCGTTTTAGTTCACTTTAGTTTAATTTACAAGAGCATTTGTCGGCGGGCGTCCATCATCCCTCCATGCTTCATTGTAATGTTGGACAATCATCTAATCAATATTTGCGATCTAATAGAAGACACGGTAAAAATTAGCGGACAGACGGACGGATACCAACTAGAGCAACACCGATTTTGATGTGTATTTTCGACTGTTATGAATGAAGGAACAAATTTCATGCATCCATCCTCCTTGTTCTTCTTTCAATAAATACTCAGTATCCGGGATAAATACTAGCATATAACTAAATTTGAAGTTCCATATTATTTATAAAAGTGAGCGAGAAAAATTAACTAATAGCCCAATTGCACATCCATTAAGTAGACTTTGGATGTCCACTACTACAATGATTACATGAATTGTACATGTTTGAAGGAGAGAAGTGTTACAGTGAGCTGTCAATGAGTCCAATCTAACGAAGTCATTTTTTAAAATTCCAATTATTAGATAATTTACTTTCAATTATTTTGAGTGCCATGTGATCTTCAATTGATGACTTTTATCCATTTTCAGGCTCGATCAGTGGAATGTATTCAAAAGTACGTTGGCCCTTTTCCAGCTTTCATCGTCAGTTTTGGCATCGTAGAAAACTCATTAAAACATTTAATTGACGCAATTTGAAATCTTGCATGAAGCGAATGCGTGCGTGCATAGAAAATATCACACCTCACGCTGTAAAATTGCTCGCTGCGTCAAATCGTTAGGTGAACTTCATAGCAATACTTGGTAGTTTTATTTATCCTGTTTCTTTATCAGGTTTCTGGTTAAGTCATTCACACTCTACGTTGCTATTGATATTATCATGTCATTACTTTTCTATCAAACAAATATAAACTAAAAAAAAAAAAAAAAAAAAACAAGTTTCAAATAAAAAATTATATCACATTCGCTAAAATCCTGTAATGGTAACAGTAACAGTAACAACAACCTTTTCGGGGAAAAGCATTAATAAACTAAACTCGTTTCTTTTATTTCTTATACTCTTTTGTTTCGAAAGCGTTTTGCAGTAAATCACCGTTGATGAATACACGGTCATATATGTTGATTATCATTTTTGAAAAGAAAAAAAAAAAAAAAAAAAAAAGCATATGTTATATAAGGCTTTGTCCGTAACACACGGTACTCCATAACTACATCAATTTTTGTATTTTTCTCTCTTTTTTTGTTCGAATGAATGAAGTGTAGTATCCGACCGTTATACGGGAGATCTGATTGCATTTTATTTTACAGATAATTTAATTATTTCATTCATAATAAACTTGACTTGACCTTAAATCGAATCGAATTAAATGTAAAAATAAAATTCTTTTTTCTTTTCTGAAGACTAATCTGTCAAAGGCAAAGGAGATAAACCGAAAGGGCAGATGGCAAATAATAATAGCCATATTGCCGCTGAAGGGGTCAGTTCAAAGATGAAAAATGAAAATCAATTAAATTTTTGCTGGTTAATGTAGGTGTGAAAGTGCCAATCACTTTCTGACAAACATTCGTCTCATGCAGGAACAGACGGCTGAACTGTTTCCGCGTTAAGCAAAATTCCTCTCTCCTTGTGTACCTTTTGAAAGCAAGTCGCCAATAACAGATTTCATTCCTACTTTTATACCCACCACTGTACACTGTAAGATGGGGGTACACCCATTTTGTTTTTTTTTTCCAAAATATATGCAACACCCAGAAGGAAGCTTCAGAGACCCTATAAAGTGTATATATTTTTGATTGGGGTGAAATCTTAAGTTGATTTAGCCATGTCCGTCCATCTGTGTGTCTGTGTGGTGTGTGTTATTGGCACTTTCCTGGTCGTATAAATGAAGATTCAAATTTGAATACGGCCCTTCGAAGAGTATCGCCCCACTAGTTGTAGTTATCACAAAATCGCGAAGGGCTTTATAAATATTATTTATTATTAAAAGTTTGGAGAATAGCCGAAAGTCTTTTATCTCGCATTTCACCTCTGGTATAGGCCCTCTAAGAGAGGACGACTTGTGTTACCGATTAAAGTTATTACTTGCATATAACGTGGATTCCGACTGATTACCCTCAATCCACGCAAGTTCATATGTAAATTTCAAAGGTTATCTTATGGTCTAGCTTGGTCTCGTTGGTGCGAGCAGCTGATATCGAATTGCAAATGTGAGAGATATTTTTAGATTTTGAAATTTCAGAAAAAGAAATTTTTCAATATGGATTTTTTGTAAAATGGATAAAACACACACGCATTATTACATATATTAATAGTTCAAAAAATAAATACCAACACGGCTGAAGACAAAGGTAAAATATAATCAAGAAAGCTTGTAGAAGCTCAGGACTTTTTATTTTTAATAAAACATTGCAAGATGTAAAGGTTCTAAAGTAAACAAATAACATAATAAATAAATATTGAGATTGATAAAGTAAAGGCACTTGCATGTGTTACTACCACAACTACATGGAACATTGCATGAAAATCAAACAAATCAGATATAAGTTTAGCGAGGACGCGGGTCCAATTTCTGCGGGGTGTATAGAGAAGTACAAACAATTCAAAGAATATCTCCCTAGTTTGCATAAAAACTAAGTAGGGAGACATGATGCTAGTTACACTGCTAATCGGATCTACTGATAAATATAATCAAAAAGAAAGGAATTCTACGAAAAACTTTGACTAATTGGTACAAAAATCGTGAAATGCATGAAGTGGTGCATGTCTCACTCTAAATAATTATTAATGTCATTCCATATGATTTGTTGTATTAAACGATTCCCGACGACAGCTTTTGTACAATGCAAGCAATGATTTGAAAAATGTGCTTTTTCGTCTAAATGGGAAAATGACTTACACATCGTAGTATAGCAACAACATTAGGAGAAATTTCGATGAATGTTTTTAGTCGAAGTTTACTCGAGAAGATCAACAAATTTTCAGTTATGAACATAATTAGCACCTCTATGACCAAGTGCTTGCCAAGTATGCGACTTGATACAACAACTTGATATTTTTCTCAAATTTCAAATTAACTACGCACTGAATCGTATTCTTTATCGAACAACGCAAAAATGCCCCAAAAAAAAAAAAAATAATAAATTGATAAAAATAGATCTTGAACTACGCCCATGAATATATGTTTTAACAATTGACTTAAAAGTTTATGCCCAAAAAGGGTTGCTCCAAGCATAGTTATGTATATCTATAGAAATATAAATTTTCGATGGCTGTGTAAAAATTGTTTGACCAAACCCTGATACTTTTTTTAATGCAGCAGTTTTGCAGATAATTTTGCATATTGCGAGAGAGAAGGAATGTAAAGTGGTCTAGTGAAAAGAGGAAGGGAGGGAGAGGGGAGAACGAGAGAATGGACAATTAACTGAAACGATGTAATAGATATGTATTTTGCAAATAAAAGGCTCGTTTATACCTTTCGTAATAGTCGTCTGTTCAATTGTAAGACAATTTATTTGGTTAAGAAATCTTACACTTAATCGCAAATGCGATTTTTCTCTTCTTAATTTTATCTTACTCGAGTGCGCTAATTATTTAAAATGAACGATAAAGATTCCTAAAGTGAAACAACGGCAAGTCATCGTTGTGTAGTTTTAGGCGTTGCATGTGAAATGAAAAACTTAATGTAAACATTGGCGGCATTTAAAAAATATTTAAAAAAAAAAACAACAATCAAATAAACGAAAACATAAACGTAATTTAAAAAAAAAAAAAAAAAAAAAAAAAAAAAAAGAAGAATAAACTTTGTGAAGCATAAAAACTAACATAGATGTAACGATGTAACGAGTGAAACAAATATGTGAACGAACAACACTCGCATACACACGTTATACATATAGAGCGTTTAACAACAGTTTTATAGAATTTGTGAACTTACCTGGAATTTGCATATTTCTATTTGGAATAGAAGTTGTTGATGAGGTAGTTGTTGCGGTAGCATTTGAAAGTGTTCCATTCGAATCAGCTTGAACGCCACCGCCACCGCCACCACCACAACTACCGGCACCACCAATAGCTGACGAGCTCTTTAATTCTGTTGGTGATGCATTCTTTGCGGAGGTGGCTGAAACTTTTGCAGAATTGGTCATATCTATATGCTGTTTATCGCTATTAATTGTTGTTGCCTTTGTTGTTAGTTTTGTCGACTTTATTGTTGTTGGCTTTCCTCCCGTTGCTATCGCTCTTTTGTTTTTTATAATTGCTGATGTCTCTGCTATTGTTGTTGCTGTTGCTGTTACTGTCGCTGCTCCCAATTCAGGGGGCGGTAAGCTATCGGACGGTGTTACTGCATGTACTGAATGAGGTGAAACGTTACCATTTAAACCGGATGAATTGTTACGCTGATTTCGAGTTATATATCTAGAAAATTAAAAATACAAATTTATTTTATTATTTTGTTTATTTTTTTTTTATTTTCATTTAATGATTCGTACTTCGTTTAGAACAAAAAAAAAAAAAAAAAAAAACAAAAAACACGCAAAAGAGTGTTATTTGATTTTTATATTTAAGGCACTTGGTCACAAATTTTTTTATGTATTTAATTTTTTTAACAACTAATTTAATAATATTTCTGGTTTCCCAACAAACCAACAATGGAGAGTGAGCGAAAAAGATCACAATTGAAATCAAATCAACATTCACTTCACTTTAGGTTATTTATTATTACTCGCTTTTTTTTTTTTTACTTTTCTTTTTAGTCTTTTTTCATATATTTTTTTTTATTTATTTATTTATTTATTTATTTATTTAAAAAAGTACATTTTTTGTACACACGCATACACGTACATGCAAACGTAATATATGTATGTAGGTAGTTGGGGTACATATATGTTGTCTATAAGTAAATGTGTCTGTCTGTCTGTCTGATTGTCTAACGTTACAATTTGCGTTTGTGTTCACACGATGCAAAGTATACGGGACTAGTAGACGTTATGGCAGCCTTTGCACGCTCGTAATGTTCGTTTAAAACTAAACTCAACTTCAGCAACGCATTATCTTTAGAGCCACAAAAACGTAACAGAAATTCACAGTTCATAGCTATACGTCATGGATTTCGATGGGTTGTTAGGTAACTTTTTACTCATTCGTTCACACACAGATGCAAACAAACAACATTTAATCACAAACACTCTCTTTTTTTTTCTTTTTTTTTTTTTTTGTTTTATGTTTTTTGGTTTTTTTTTTTTTTTTTTTTTTGTTTCTTACTCACTATTTTCTTTTGTTACTTGTTGATGTTGAGTAGTAGTTAGAAAAAACAATATATGTATATATATATATATGGGTGTGTGTGTGTGTGTGTGTAAACGTTAACGCGTGTGAGTGTGTAAATGTGTGTGTATGCGCTTCTGTGCATGATGTGATAAGAAACTACACATAACTGGATTCCATATGTTAAACAGGGCATATTTGCGAGTTTTCCTTCTCCAGATTGCATTCATCAGGCATATGCACATCTTTCCCCCTATACGTATATAAATACACCTACATACATACACATACATATATATATATATATATATAGGTATAAAAACATATGCTTGCATATATATGAATAAACACATGTCAGCATATATTTCTATTGGAAATGTTTTCGGTTTGAAGCAAAATAGAAGAAAATCATAAACAAAAACAATAACAAAACAAATGTGATAAGCGCGCAGGAAACGCTCATAGTAGAGTGTGTAGACATTATTTGCGTGCAATAGAAACAGAAACAGAAACGGCAAAAAGAAAGAAGAAATGAATTAAGAAGATACTGCAAAAAAGCACAAAAAACTGGTATTCAATGTTTTTTCTCTCTCGTTACTCGATCAGGTACCCACCCATAGATGAAACAGGTTAAATCTGTAAAATACTTTTTAAAACACATTTACCTTAAAGAAAGTCTTACATTCGCGAATATATGGCACCGAAACTATTCTAATAAAAAAAAACCGATTAAGAACCGTTGAGCAGGTTAAGAAATTGAAAAAGTTCTAAAATTATAAATATATGTAAGGAAAAATCCACAGTCGTACATAAAATTTAAAACATTTCTGTTTAATCTGGACTGAAGCTACTGCCACAACTCAAAAGGGGTTTGCATTCATTAAAGAAAACGATCCTCTCCGTAACATCCGTAAATACGTTCCTTTTAAAGTCTCATATAGTGCATATGCGTATGCATATATTCCCGATCAATGTACGATCAGGAATATGTCCGTATGTCCGCTCGCAGCCATATATGCTTGTGCTACATTTGTTGTTAGAGCTTTCGCTTTCATTTCATTTGACATATGCACTCTATCCCAAAGGTGAAAGGTTGAATTTGAATATAGGTGTGTTAGAGCAGAGATTATGCAAAATTGTAACTTATAATGCAAAGCGTTGAATACAATCTAAGATTTCAGATTAACATTTGCTCGCACCATAATACACCTCTCAATAGGTGAAATGTATCGGCGTTTCTACTTTGCCTATAAACTTGGCAACGACCACTAAGAAAACCCAGATTAATGGCACATATCACAAGAGTTATATATATACAGTTAAAACTCATTCCTATATGCCATCAGATGACATGCCGATAATAAAATAAAAAAAAAGAACAGTTGGAAATTGTAACCGATTGAGTAATAGGGGTTAAAGTGTATATAGCTTTCTTTCTTGTATTTTATTTCACTTGATTAGAGAATGAACTCGATCATACTTTCCTTCAATACGATCACTTTCATTTAAGAAAAAACATTTAAAGAATTAATTTTGCGCTTAACAGCATATAATAATTTAATTGTTTAATTAACACATTCACAGCCACGTGTACCGTTTTCAGTACATGGTAAACTATCTTAAATTAATATATTAAAATCAACCAAATTAATTGTTGCAATCACAATTTTATGCATCATAACAATATTGACAACACTTTTTGAGCCGTATATCGATAAAGGTACATGTGGCAACACACAAAATATATATTTTCTCTCATATAAATACAAAAGAAGTATTTATCCGAAAATAACTAAATTTTTTGTCGTGTACCATAAAAATGGTACGAGTGGTGTGAAAATTACGCCTTATCATAAATAGCTTGGCAGAGAAAGCGAATCACAGCATAGTGATTGTAATAAGGGTGAACAGCTTGCGTAGCTTAAAAGGGATGTGAACTGTTTTTAAAATGAACTGAAAGCAATCGTTGCAATGGTTAATTGTACTTCATTCATTACATTAATCGTATTCTCTGCAGTTATTTTGATACAAAATTCATTCGGATCACACTAAAAATTGATTTTTGCCTATTCTAAAGTAGATCAATTTAATTAAATTTTTTAAAATTCTCTTATCCTTAAAAACAAGAATACCTATATTTTGCACTATTTGCATTTGTGAATATGACTGATCTTGGCAAATCTTTCTTCAAATGGCATTTGCGCAAAGCGTTTCATTCAGGGTAGTCGTTAATGAATCTTGCTTTTTATAAATCGGTTGTATATGTCTCATCTTGCCGGACCGTTGAAAGCAAATGCCGGAATCTTTTGCAAACCATCCGCATTCGGATTTTCATAAATTTGAAGTAAATCTGCCTAAAATTAATTACAGATATTGAAAATTCCCCAAAACTAATGGTAAGGGGAACCGATTAATTCGTTTCATTATTAAGCTACTCTTGTCTAAAGAAATAATATTGCTGTACGTTTTGCGTTTTCTTGACTCAAAAGGATTATATACACCAACGATTCCATATTGTACGCATCAGATATCCGTTTGTCCCTTCGTCAAGATGATTAAAAGGTCATAAATAAATCTAGCAGTAAGTAAAAGTTAAACCTTTATCGGAATAATTGAGTCATAGAATGTGACTAGTTGAAATTTTCAAAAAAAAAAAAAACAAAAAAAAAAGAGCGCAAAAATATAAAACATCCCTGTACAAAAATCGTATAAAAACTCAATACGCTAGCGCCTGGTAAAGATTAATTCATTTAATAACTGCTGTTTTTGCGTCTCTCTTTGAAACAGGCAAACAAACAGATCTTGCAATAGAAGACAAAAACACCCCTAAACGAAACGAAGATTACGTTCTTGTTTTTGGAAGTTTTTATAAACAGCAGTATATAGATTTATAAACAAAATGTGTTTAGAAAACACTTCCAGTGCGAGTAAACAAAGAGCAGAGTCACGTACGCAAGCATTATTAATAGTTTTAACATATGTAACGACGAATACCTGGGATTTGACTGGTTTTCATTTCATTT